ATTGGACAGGAGAGTTTTACAGAATCCATTGTAGCTGGATGGACAGAGGATACCAACGGTAGGTCTGTGGATATGGTGGTCACAAATATAAGTATTTGTCGTCATGAAATAGCGAAGTAGAGGAAAGACAACCCACCACCATATGGTAAGGAAAAAATACAGGACCTCCAAAGGGCGCTTGAAGAAGTACAAACGGATAATGATCGGTCGCAGAAAAACATATTGGAAGTGTGTAGAAAATTACAGGATGCATATAAGGTGAGGAGGACTATTGACATCAGAAAAGTTGTAATACATGGTATTCATTAGGAGACCTTAAAACCAAATTATATCATGCTTTAACAAAATAAAGGCGGGAGCGTAACAGAATTGTGGGTCTTCATAACGAAGCTGGAAATTGGATAACAGAGGAAAATGGGGTGGAAAAGGTGGTGGAATATTTTGAAGATTTATTCACCTCTACTTTACCATCTGAATTTGATAACTTCCTGGAGGAGGTTCCCTCAAACATCACAGATCAAATGAATCACCAGGCTGTTACGGAATGCTACGGAGGAGGAGGTCAAACAGGCTTTATTCATGATGCATCCCGAGAAATTGCCAGGACCCGATGGAATGACAGCGCTTTTTTCCAGCACTCTTGGCATGTAATTAAACATGATTTGGTGGAGATGGTGAATAATTTTTTTATCACAGGGGTACTACATGCTCGCCTGAACATCACTCATATTTGTATGATACCGAAGACGGAGAGACCCACAAGAATGACGGAACTTAGACCTATATGTCTGTGTAATGTTGGATATAGGATTATTTCAAAAGTTTTATGTCAGCGGCTGAAAATTTTCCTACCTAGGCTCATTTTGGAGACTCAAACGACGTTTGTTCCAGGGAGGCAAATTTTGGATGATAATTTAATTGCTTAGGAGATGTTCCATGGTCTAAGAACTAATAAATCTTGTCAGGAAAACGGTATGGCGATCAAAACGGATATGAGAAAGGCGTATGACAGGGTAGAATGGAGTTTCATTAAAGCTTTACTCTGCAAAATGGGTTTTGATCCACATTGGGTTACACTTATGATGGAATGTATTTTGCCAGTCCAGTACAGAGTGTTAATCAATGGTCAACCTAGGGGGACCATTACCCCACAGATAGGTCTAAGAAAAGGGGATCCGCTGTCTTCTTATTTATTTATTATGTGTACTTAGACCCTAATTACTAATATTAAAAAAGCGGAGAGACAAAAAAGGTTGACAGAGATGAAGGTGGCCAGAGCGTGTCCAGCTATTTCTCATCTTCTTTTTGTTGATAATAGCCTATTCTTTTTTAAGGTGCAATCGGAGGAATGTCACATCATTCTTAACATTCTCAAGGAATATGAGATTTTTTCGTTGCAACTGATCATATCCAAAAGTCTTCAATTTTGTTTCGTTACAAGATTGGTGAAGTAAACATATAGGATTTGAGGGATATTTTGGAATTCAGAATATCGGTGGTATGGGATCATATCTGGGTTTACCAGAGAGTCTGAACTCTAAAACACAAGTGTTTGGATTTGTGCAGGAAATATTAAATAAGAGGGTCAATGGGTGAACGTTTCGGTATTTCACGAAGGGAGGAAATGAAGTGATTATTAAATCTGTAGTAACTGCCCCACCAAATCATGCCATGGCTTGTTATTGATTAACTAAGGCTACTACAAAGAAGTTAACAAATGTGTGACACAATTTTGGTGGAGTCCTAGGGGGAGAACGAGAGAAATGCATTGGAAATCATGGGATAAGATGTGTCAAGACAAGGAAAAAAGGGGTTTGGATTTTAAGGATCTTGAGGATTTCAACACGACAATGCTTGGTAAGCAATTATGGCGCCTTACTGAGAAACCAAACTCTTTGTTTTCTCGTATTTTTAAAGGTCGGTACTATAGGAAAGTTTCTTCACCTCTAGAACCGATCATATCATATTCTCCGTCATATGGCTGGAGTAGCATGATCTCTGCTAGATCTTTGGGTCATCGATCTCTGTATGAAATGATCCATGGCTCCCAACCACTCGCCCGAGACCAACAAATAAAAGACAACAAATCTTTTATCCGGAGCTCACAGTGGATTCTCTCATCAATTTTGAGAAGCGCAGTTGGAATATACAGATTATTCGGGCTTTTGTGGATCCCAAAGATGTGAACATTATAGAAAGCATACCACTTAGTAGGACTCACATGGAAGGTAGGGATGGATGACATTTTACAAAGAATGAAAAATACACGGTTAAGTTAGGATATCAAGTTGAAAGGGTGTATCTAGAAAAAGAGAAGCTGCCGGAGTTCGAGGGACCAACGGTGGAGATATTGTAAGCATTTTGTTGAAAGTAAGGTGCCCTCCTAAGATAAAAACACTTTCTATGACAATTGTTATCTGGTTGCATTGCTGTAAAGAAAAATCTGCAATCGCGTGGAATACGTGGTGACATATGTTGTGATAGATGCGGAACTGAAGAAGTATCAGTTAATCATGTTTTCTTCAAGTGTCCCCCTGCACGTTAAGTCTGGGCATTATCTAAGATTCCTTTAAATCCGACACTATTTCCTTCAGGCTCCCTGTTCACAAACATGGATCACTTATTTTGGCATGTTTTACCCAAAAATGGAGGATCATCATTATGCTTGGATATTGTGGTATATTTGGAAAGGGCGAAACAACAAAACCTTTAGCAATGTGGATGTTGATCCCAAGGATACGCTAACACTGGCAGAGACAAAGTCTACTCTTTGGAAGGAAGCCCAAATAGTACATACGCAGAGAGAGACACAACAAGGGGAAGTTATGACTGTTCCTTCCATACCAGGGCGCTAGTGTTTTATAGGTGATTCATGGAAAGAAAAGGAAGCCTTTGCTGGCCAAGGTTGGTACAGTACGCTTGCGGGTTTTATTGGTTTGATGGGTGCACGAAATGTTAGAGCTAGTCTATCGCCTCTCCATTCAGAGGTGGAAGCGCTTATTTGGGCAATGGAATGTATGAGGAATTTACATCAATATCGTGTCACTTTTGCAATAGATTGTTCTCAATTGGTGAAGATGGTTTCGGAATCAGAGGAATGGCCAGCGTGTGCAAGTTATTTGGAGGATATCAAAACACTGAAAGGAAGTTTCCACCGCTCCAAGATCATGTATGTCCCGAGAATGTCAAATACAAGGGCGGATAGCCTAGCACATAATGCCTTGAAGCAACCATCTTTTATCGTTCACATGGATGCAGAACTATCAGTTTGGTTTGCAGAGTCTTTATGAGTGTATTTTGATGTCAAAAAAAATAATGGTAGCTATCTAATATTTTAATTTATTAATAATACCTATGTTATTAAACATCATAAAACTTAACTTGAGTCCAACATGTAAGAATAAAACTTCTCAAATAATATTATAGAGATAAAAAAATTCTTTTAATGGAAAGTTGCGTAAGTTTTAAACAATAAAAGATCCAATTGCCATGAAATGTATACTTTAACTCCATGATAATATTTTTCGTCTTAAATAGAAAGTTTATGATTTCTTTTATTTGCAACTAAACTGACATAAAAATTATTGTTTAGATTGTTTGTAAAATGATATAAGTTGCTCTATGGTTATTTTTTTTTATAATCAAATTAAATAAATAAAAAATAAAAAATCATCAACCAATCAAATTATAAGAATTAATTTAGCTATTCATCTGATGTAAAAAAAAAAACAACTCATCTATAAATGACATGTGTACAAAACATTTTAGTGGTTTCTTTTTAAATATATAGTAGAACAGGAAAATATTCAGGGATTTGATTTATTAATTACTAAAATTAAACTAGTAAACGTAACATATTTATAAATGTTAAGAAGTAACATTTTTAGCCACATGACTAAGACAAATTAAAACGCTAGAGAGAATAGATAACATGCATCAAACTCTCTAACAAAAAACCAGTAGTAGGATACATTACAACATCACCTTTTTGTTTTACTATATCAAGAAAAACACCTAACTAAGATATCGTTTGAAGGAAGTTGTTCATGCCCATAACTACCAATAAAGATAGTGTCATAAACAATGGCTGCACCAATAAGTGGACCAACCCAATAGGCCAATGGTTCGTTAATGTCCAGCTAACCAGAGCTGGAGCAAAGGAAACCGCCGGGTTCATTGAACGCACCACCAACGAGAATATTAGCTCCAACGATTAACCCAATCGCTAAAGGAGCAATTATTCTTATATCACTGTTCTTGGAATCCACGGCAGTAACATAAAACGTATAAACCAACCCAAACGTCATGAAAATCTCGAAAACAACTGCGTTTCACGGTGTGACTCCATATGAGAGCTTAAAAGCTGATGTTTCCATCCCATCAGTACTTGCCTTGAGCTACAAGCAAGCTACGACTGCTCCAAGTAATTGAACAATCCAGTAAAGAATAGCTCTTAACAACGTTATATTTCCACCAATGAATGAAAGCTCCGAAGTCCGAACGTAACCGCCGGATTAACATGACCGCCTAACGTTTTCTAATGCGGTAACCGTCAAGAACAATGCAAACACATGAGACAATGATGCAGCCACTAGACCAGAAGGTGTGGCCGGTCCGTCTCCGGTTAGCTTCCCGTAAGCAATACTGGGAGCTTTGACCAGCGAAAACAAATATAAACATGGATAAAAACTCAGCGAAAGCCGCTCTAATCGCATCTGAACCATTAGCTTCTCCCGGCGTTTCAATCGCAGTTGTGTTGAAAGCCATTGTACTAAAATAGGATTGTTTGCTTTTCTTTTGTTTGGTTGATTGTTTCTCCACGTGTACGTTGGAGAACGGTTCAAGACTGAGATTAGTGTTTTACGGTAGGGCCCAAGTTTAGAGAGATCGAACGGTGATTAACTTATCTGGACTAGTTAATAACTTAATTACAATTTACTTAGAACTTAACCCGTTTTATCGCTTTCTATAAATAAACGTTATGGCTCGTAGCTGAAGACCACGCGCTTTACTGTTCTTTCTTTGCAAGATTGTTCTGTTCTTGAAACGATTCCAAGGTGCGACTTTTCTTTTGCTTCATAGATCTCAAGCTTTTTTTGTTCGTTTCAATATTTGATGCTTTTTGGTTAAATCGATCTGTGTTTTGCTGATTAATCGTAGAAGAATCTTCATTTTGCTGTTAAGAGTCATAAATGATCATCGCTAGTTAAGGATCATGACCTAATTTAGACGTGAACTCAAAGAACTTAGGTCACAGAATCTTGATTTGTGTTCTTGAATTGTTCTGTTGTTAGATGAGTGAAGAAATGAAAGGGAATCAATCTGCGAAGCTTCAGAAGCCAACTCCACGCTTAAACGAGAGGATCCTCTCCTCTTTATCTAAGAGATCGGTTGCTGCTCATCCATGGCATGATCTTGAGATCGGTAATGAATCACTAATACTAGATTAAAAAACCATATAATATATTGTGTTTTGAGCCTTGGGTGTCTTTCTAACTATGAATTATGGTTGGGAAAATGATAAATTATCTGCAGGACCTGGAGCTCCAGTGATTTTCAATGTGGTGAGTCTTATGCTGGTGATGTGGTAATCCATTGATGGTAAGATCAAAAAAGATAATCCGAAATGAATCATTTATGGTTTTTGAATGAAATAACAGGTTGTTGAGATCTCAAAGGGTAGCAAGGTCAAATATGAACTTGACAAAAAGACAGGACTAATCAAGGTAAAATAAAAGACAAAACCTGGATGAAAAAGGAGAGAATGATCTGGTATTTTCAAGGAAATGAAAACTCTAACAATTTAATTTGTCATCTCAGGTTGATCGGATCCTTTATTCATCGGTTGTGTATCCTCATAACTACGGTTTTATTCCCCGCACATTATGTGAAGACAATGACCCTTTGGATGTGCTAGTCATCATGCAGGTTATTAGTCTTATCTTCATAAATACACACAGGAAAAAAAACAATATGGATCATTATATTCTTAATGAGGTTGATTGATCATGTGCACGCAGGAGCCTGTGCTTCCAGGTTGTTTTCTGCGCGCCCGAGCTATTGGATTAATGCCCATGATTGATCAGGTAACATCCAAATCTCTGTTTATATAATCTGTAAGGATCCTTTTGGTTATAATCTGTGTAAGCAATATGAGTTGTTTTGTAATTAAAGGGAGAAAAAGATGACAAGATCATTGCGGTATGTGTTGATGATCCTGAGTACAAGCATTACACTGACATCAAAGAACTTCCTCCTCATCGTCTCACTGAAATCCGGCGATTCTTTGAAGATTGTATCCTTAATATTTCAATTTTTTCAATCTTTAAATCTTCTCGTTACGAATAAACCATTGTTTTTGCTATATCTTTAACCAAAAAATGTTACAGACAAAAAGAATGAGAACAAGGAAGTTGCTGTAAATGATTTTCTACCTAATGGTCCTGCTGTTGAAGCCATTCAGTACTCAATGTAACGGGTTTTTTTAGTATATTCTTCAAAAAAATTATTATTATTATATATATATATATATATATTTTTTTTTAAAAAAAAAAATTTAAAATAATGTTATATAACAAATCTTGTTCTTGAAATCACCACAGGGACCTTTATGCTGAGTACATTCTTCACACCCTGAGGAGATAAGAGGAGGGCAGTTTCTCAAGAACATTCCTACCTACAAAAAAAGGAGAATTTGTCTGATATTTGGATTCTGAATAAACTAAGCACGTGTTCCTAAAAGTGTTCTGATATTTTGTCTTCAAAGCTTCTTTGTTGTTTTCTTGTGGGGATCTTTTGTTTGAGCACTAATCCCAAATTAAGATTTGTTTCTTATTTGTATTGTAATCTTTTTAATCCTTTTAAAGTTTCGTTTTTATTCCAATGAAACCAGATCTCTTTATATTTATGTAAACACATAGGAACAAATCGATGTAGCTATCAACTTTAGCATAGTTCTGATTCCATTTCGTTTCTTCTTAATTCAAATTCAAATCTCAATTATATTTGCAAAATCAGAAGAAATTGTCAGGTGGTGGAAAACTTTTGTGTGTCAGATAGTCGGATCTGCCGCCCACCCTAATGCCCTACCCAGTAAATATCAATAGCTATCTTTCCTCCAGCAAAACTCCTGCGTGAGTTGACAACCTTTTTTCTACCTTCTAATTTTTCTAATTTATCTAAATGCCCAAATACAATACAAGCTTAAAATCTCATTAGAAAAGACATTGATATGTTGGAGAAAAAAAAAAATAAGAAACTGATATACCCGACCAAACCATTGTCGTAACGCAAATTATAGCTATAAGGAACATTTACCTATATTTCCATTTCATAGCTAATTGATAACAAATTGAATTTGTTTTGTCAACATAACAAACTGATTTATTTAGGGAAATTTGATCCAAGGATATAAATATTATAATTCAACAAATGTATATAAAAAATTAGGGGTCAGACTGATTTAATCCTCCTAAGATCGTCACTTCAGTAATGAGATGTGATAAACCTTGATGCAATGATTCCAAGGAAAACACTGACAAGGGATGTGGACTGAATGGTCGGTCACACAAAAGTTGCGGAAGATTTTTGATATTCCTCTTTGTTTTTCAGATATTACACACCAAAGAACTCAAAAAATTTTCCTGGATATTACACACAACAAGATGATCTACTTTTTTTATCACAGATGATCTACTTTATAAAGGGTTTTTGAATAAAATATAGAAATATTCTTATTGTTTTCGACCAGAATATATATAGAAAGAAGATTATATATTCACAATTTCTTGAAACGAACAAAGCATTTAAAACAAGGCTCCCACGCCAAATAAAGCAAACTGAAGTTTAAAATTCAAAATAAAATATAACTAAGCTGACCATGAATCAACAACTAGGTGATAAAAGAAATAACTTGTGGCTTCCTTAAAAAAACTATCTTTGGAAAATTCAGTGAGATAAAACTAAAAATAGGGAAAAAGAGCACACACAAGTTTCTTGCCTAATTGTTGATCAACTAGAACTTGGATAGGTTCGGATTGTGGTCAAGGTATGGATGGATGATAAACCTCGACCAAAACATGCTTGAATGGTGGTTAAGGTAATTGTGGTTGAGGTATGGAGGATCAGACCTTGACCATGGCTTTCCTCTTGTTCCCAAACGAACTTAAGTAATGCACCAACAGCTTCCTAGAGCTTTTTTGATCTTGCACGAGTCATTGGACCTTCTTGAATGGCTAAGACCCTTTCATCTTCATGCTTATCTTCATGTTCTTCATCTGACCATCCGGACTGGCCTAAGCTTCTATTGTTCTTGTCTTCAGCTGACCATCTGAACTTATCTACGTTTGTATGGCTTTCAGCTAGCCCATCTATACTTGTCCACGTCTGTGTTGCCTTCAGTTGAAATTTCGGACTAGACCACAGAAGCATTGTCATCTGGTTCGATCAGGATCATATGGTCCCCTCCCTCTTGAAAAGAAGTTGTCCTCAACTCTGATTCATCTGCAAGAAAAAGATCCAAATCTAAAAGGGAAAATTGTCATTTAAATCACGAACTTTCAAATTTGGTTGAAAAAAGGCATGAACTTTCCTTTGGACCATTTAAAGCACCAACTTAGTTTGAATAACCATTTTAAACCTCAATTTAGTTTGACTAAACCAAATTAAGCACGACGTTAATTCGGTTAACGGATTGATTAAACGGTGTTAATCTCCATCTCTAATCTTCCGTTAAGTCCCCGTTAAGTCCAAACGACGTCGTTTTAAAATTTTAAAAAATATTGTATCCGAAGGGAATCGAACCCATGACCAAAAGAAAACTCGTTTTGGAATCAGAACCACTAGACCACTTGCAATTTTCTTAAATTAAATGAATACTAATAGATATTATTATGAAACCACCAAATCATTTTCTCCCACCCTAAATCCCTAAATGATTTTATAAATATTAAAACTTATAAATAACTTAATAATTAAAAAATTGCGTGAATATTATAAAAAATATTAAAACTTATAATAATTATTAAGTTATTTATAAGTATTCTTAAAAATATTAAATAACAAAATATTTTAATCATTAAGTATTATTGAATATTCAAATTTTCGTTATTATACTTAATAACTAGGGTCGGCCCGCCCTACGGGTGGAAATTTATAATTAATTTTATTTTATATGAATTACATTGATTTTGTAAAATTTTTAAAACATTATATAGAAAATGATATTATAAATAAATAAATAATGAATAAAATTCAGAAATCATGTTGTTACTTTTAATAATCATTTTTGGTTTGAGTTAAAGTGACATTATCTTCTTTATTCTCTATTTCCATCGAATATACAATTAGCAAATTAATTTAGACAATGTAATAATATATATCTTGTTATTATTTAATTTCAGTTTGACATGATAATAGAAAATATAAAGTTTAAATAAATATTACTGTATTTAATTATTGTTGTATTTAATTCAAGAAGTTTCATGTTTTATTTAAAAATTACACTAATTGATTATTCATGTTAATAAATTAGTCGAACTCCAACCTAAATCGGTTAAAACATAAAAATTGATAAAATAATTAAATGTCAGTTTTAAAATAATATAGAAATAATTTAATAGTATCATAAATGATATTTTATTTGTTTCAAATCATAATTATATACGGAATGAAATATACCAATAAAATAACTAAATGTAATGAATCATTAACAATTTGGAAAATCAAGATGAACTAAGCCCTTTCTCAAAAACAAAAAATCAAGATGAACTCAACCACATATAGATGTTCTTTTATATTCATTTCCTGAAGAATTAACTCTGTTCTGTAACTTTTAGTGTTGGCTGTATTTAACAAAAGCTTTTTTTGGTCGTGTATTTAAGAAAAGCTTATAATTCATATTTCATCAAATATCTCCTTTTCATAATTAAATAGAAAAATCAAAGAATATGTTAACTTTATATTACCACCCACAGACCAAGATGTATAGAATAATATTTTCACTCCAAATATCGATCTCCTTTCTGTAGTTTTGTCTTGATATTTTATGAGCAACATATTAAACACTTTCGACTACTTTTTCTTTAAACATATGAACACACGATTTTGAATTAAAATGGCATAACTCGACAACAGTGTATGAGGGAGACAATTATTCACACTAAAACTCCCATAGCCTATATTTGAAGCTTCCAATGATATTCCAAAAGTTTGAAAAGAAATAGTTTCAAGATTGAAAAAGCTTGACCCGAGTTTCATAACATTGAGTTTCATAACATTTCCGAAAAAATGGATTAATGATTCTCTTTGGATTTCACAATGGCGACTACAAATGTTATTTCCTCCAAACTCAACTACTCATGTTCTTTACTTGGATATTATCATACAGTAATCACCATTGTAGACGTATATTTAGTTGTGTTTTTAGGTTAGAATAGAGTCAAAACCTTGAATATTATCCATTTTGAATTGTTTGACTCTTTGCGTAGACACGAACATGTGCCTGAGATGATATGCACAAAACATAGTGAGTTGCATAATGTGTTAGTTTTTTTAGTGAAGTTTGTATATCCTTAAAAGTTAGAAAACAAAGAAATGTAGAGCCAGTAATTGATTCGGCTTTGGGTCTCTATTTTATTATCCTAACGCTTGCCTTGCTATATTCATTGACAATATTGTCATGTAAGGGAGCTTATAAAAAAACTTAGGTCTCCAAAGGTTAAAGCTAATGCGACTTACTATTGTTATCTCCTCTAGACCATATAGTGGCAAAACTTTTCAATCGCTAAGTATCAGTGGAAAGAATCGTAGGGCACAAAAGAATTTAACAGTTCAATAACAAAAGAAAGCTCTTACTTGATCAGCTGGTTCGAGTCTTGTAATAGTTCTGACCGTAAATTTCTTGTAACCCTCATTCAATTTTTCATAGACTTCACATTTATGCACAAAGTTTAACACTTTGGAATCAGACCATGTGAATCTACACTAAGGACCAAGATGAAGAACATTACATATCCTGAGATAGTCTCATAGGTGGTTTTCACTTTAGACTTAAACATCATGTGCAAAGCATAAGCTATATCCAAACTCAACCATCCTTTCTTTGTAGATAATCTCAGATACGGTCATTTTGTACGTTATATTTTATATGGGTATGTGATCAGATATACTTTTTATTTGTTTTTGACTTTTGAGTTGAAAAGAAAACGGTAAACCCTTGGAGAAGAGCACCGTCGCGTAACTCACCATTGATGCACCATCAAAACCTCTATTCTTAACTTATTCCACAAAGATTGATACAAAGACAATCACAACTTTTGTCTTAAATTTTTGATTCCTCCAGTTACTGATGCTCTGTCCCAATCTCTTCTTCCTCTAATTCTTCCTCCAAACTACTTCTCCTGTTTTTCCATCGATCGCTTAATCAAATTTTCAATTTATATAAGCACATCGAAGATAAATCTTTATGACTCTACAAACTCCGCCACCAAATAAAAGTTAACCCAAGATCATTTCAAGTGACACAAAAAGCATTTTTCAAAGTCGCCAAATCTTAACAACTCTCTTGTGTTTACAGAAAGGCGATAACTTTAGATTTGTGTGTTACTAAATGTTGTGATTGGTAAATGCAAAGAGATCTAAAATAACAGAGTGAGAGTGATTATGCTGACATGATGAACATTATATGGCTGAAGATGAAGCCTAAACATTTAACTGATATCATAGAGTGACTTCTCATTCTCTTTCTAGCACCCGTCGACTCTGGATTTGCTTCGCTCCCGACCAAGCGTTTCCAAATAGGCGTCCATGAGCGAGAAAATCTTCCTGCACATTAAGAGGCCTCCCTAAGGAGACTTTGCTTACATCGCCAGATTACAAATCAGGTAGGGAAATTTGGGATGTTGCAGGGATGTTTACGACGATTAAAAAGAAAAAGCTAATAGTTT